CACCACCTACAGTAGAATTAGCACCAATATATCGCGTGCAAGTTCTGCTCACCGTGTGATTACTAAGTGAACGACCATCACTTTTTTGAACTCACGTATATCCTCTTGAACATCGTGAACGATGGCGCCGAGCACTCGTTCCCGTAAAAAGGCAACGTCGGCGACGCCTCTGGCGTCGACGGCGGAACCACCCGTACCTGAGGTAGCCGTACCTGGAAGTCTTCCTCCCGAGGAGGACGACCCCGGTAACCATCAGGTGGAGTCGAACGACTCCGAAAGCGTCGGTAGCGATGCCAATTCGGCGGGCTACCAGTCGGCAGCACAAGAGCAGGCTGAACAAGATGCCCTGCTCGCCGAGGTCGATGCGCGCACCTTCCCCAGGCCGTCACCGCCATCGGTAACGGCCAGCTCGTACTCAGGAACGTCGAGCGCGGCAGTAAACCGCGCCCTGCGCTCCGAAAGGTCCGATCAGGCCACACCTGTAGCGAGCAAAGTAGTTAGCCGTCCGAATGTTAGTCCGATGTTATCCGAGAACGGAAGCAACGAAGATAGTGCGCACCGATCTGTTGAACAGATCGTACGTGTGCAGTTAATGGAGAAAGCTATGGCGCTCATGCAGTTAGCAAACGCAGGAGATTTCGTTGCCCCGCAGGGAAACTTCGACTTCCTTACCTGGGCCGAACAGGCCATTGATAGCAACGATCTCACGCGCGAGATCAACGTACCGAAGTACGTAAAGGCTGTTAAAACGGAGCCGAAGACCCCGGTCATTCCAGAAGCGCGTGATGAACACGCATATGAACAGCCTAATGCAGAAGCGTTAGAATTGCAAGGGGAAGTGCGCGAAGCGATCTTCGCGCCGCGCGAAGACGACGAACCAGAATCGGCGTATCATCATCGCCTTCAGATCCAGGCAGACGTTTTGGACAATGAAGGAGGCATCTTTAGCAAAGGAGCCAACGCACTACGGGCAGAAGTCAAAGGAAAGGCCAAGGCGGGATCATCGAAAGAGGATCCCGAGTTTGGCCACAAGTTAGCCGAGCACTTTAACATGCTGAAGCGTGACGAGGAACAAGGACGCATGGCGCCCCAGCAGTTCACGACACCGCCCAAGCGCGCAACGGGTATTGTGATTAACGAACCCCAGGCGCCCAGCAAGCCGGCTAAACATACCTTCGATATGCAGACGCCAACACGAGTTCCAGAGGGCAGGCCGCTTAACTCCGGCCTGGGTGCATCGAGTACGCCTCAGAAAGGCATGAACCGCGACTATCGCGCGAAGGACTTTGATGAGTATTATCACATACTCTAGCAGATCTTCTCCGTGTCTAACAGACAATGACAGGCCCATGGACACCGTTACTTGTGAATAATGACAGGTAATCACCGAGCAATATATTTATATATATTTATATAATCATTATATCTGAAAAAACAGCTGGGGGTTTCACCTGGCACAGGTCTCTGGCTGGGGAAATTGCTGGTGTTGTTAAACCGGGAACCGTGAGAGATGAGAACCCCTTCAGCTCTAGGCGAAGTGTGACATGTTCACCCGATCATTGTAACCAAATCTGATGGCAGTGTCACACACATTGTTGCACATTGATTGGCCTGGAATACTTTACACTGATAGCCCTTGGCCGTACTGGGAACTGTGCAAACCTCTTTCCCACGTAGGTAGCTACTGATAATTGGTACCCATATCACTATGTATACATTATTGTTTCACATATATCGTGGCAGAGACTTCAAGTGTGCTGTGGCATGGGCCGATGGT